ATGGTTCTGATCTTTAGCTTTGGAGATGCAAGATAATGATTCAGTGGACCATTGAACTACAAAGAGTTTGAAACCTTAATGTATTAATATCGAAGATCATTATTAGGTTATTTAGAACAAATCCTATGCACATGTCTGCTCTACAATGCTTATATATTTAATTAAAATGCTCATAAACATAATGGATTGGGTTTTCCAACCACTGACATTTAAAATACCTCATCCTGTGTTTCCTGCCACATAATGGTTTGCAGTTTGTCATTTTCTCTTTTTTTACACAGACCCCGAGTGATGCTGAAACCCTCTGGACTATACAACAGGGTTGTTTCGTGCATGGTTTAAAAAGAAGATGTTTCAGAGAATCTTCATCCGGTGTTAAATCTCATGGAGCAACACAGACACGGTTCTGTAGATTTCGGCTAAAAATGTATCGCTCATTAATTAAACACCGGTCAGATGTATTTCCATGGCTCCTGCAGATATGGAAATGTCTGAAATGAGATTTTAATAGAGGCCTCTCGTACGCACATCCTCTGTGAGGCATTTGAATCTACCAGACAAATATATTTGTGAAGTGTTGTTTGCTAGTTCTCAAGTAATCACAGCAAATCATATGGCAGCCTCCATATTTCCTTTGACAGAAGAGTGCGGCCTAATTAAACATGCAGAACTGGAGAAGAACACGTTAATTTAATGTAACAAAAATGTTGATTTTTATGCAGGCCTTTTTAAAATATCAATAGGCTAGGCTTGAATTTCATGATGCATCAAAGCATTTCATGATATGCTAATGTGATGAATGCTGCCTCTTTCTCTAACGAGCTGGACAGAACACTGGTCCAGACCAGACCTACAGGCTTGAACCCGCTCTCTCACACCCGCGGACTGCTTAATTACACGCTCGTAGTTCTGAAAAGACCTTGTGACTTTTAGATTTTGTCAAAGGGACCGCAAAAAAACGACTTAGCTAATTAGTTAAGACCTGAACACTATTAGAGAGACGAAAATGAATCATGTCCTTGTTAAAACCTATAAGTATTTGAGAGACTGTTTTGCACAGTCAAGGCCAAACTACATCAGAAGCAATAACCAAGGATTAAATAAAACAAACTTACAATTTATTAATGAATAGAATTTGGTTTTTAAAGAAGAGCTCTCTAATACGTTTGGTGGTCTTTTACACATTGACTCTATCAGATTTGCAGTTTGGAGAAACTCATTAGTCAGAGATTCTCTTTTAATTAAGACTTACTGGTGCAGTATAGGTCCTCTACTGAATAACTTGATAGCAGCCACTTGCGTTTTTCATTTGCATTTTCATAACACGTAAAAAAAAAAACGCGTAAAATAATAAATAAAATTGTTACGTTTAAGAATCTTGCTGAAGCTCAACCCTAAACGTTAACTTAAAATAAAAAAACAAGGGTTGATTTAAGAGCACTTTCTGCTTGACAAAATCACTGCATCCAGAGGTGCAATTCCTCGAGTAATCGATGGGTGGCGGATTAGTCCTGTACATCGGTGAGCGGCGTCTACCTGACACTGTACCTGCCTTCTGCAGGAGTCATTATTCAGCGCAGCGCTGTGCGTAAAAAGTAAGACGTTCATTTCAATACGTAATATTCGCTAAAATCACACCAAAATACATTTTAAAATGGAATTATTAAATAATTGATACCTGATATTTACTACATGTCTGTGAGGGTCTCTCAAAACCGTTTGAGCTACCTACCTAGACAGTGAATAGGCTACACTTGACTCCTACAAATGTCGCCTAGTGAGGCGGTTCACTAGGTTTCGAGACACAACCTTGAGACACAAATGTGTTTACCTTCAGAGAAACTCTCGTCTTACAAGACTGTTGGCTGCATTTTTTTAATTATTATTTTATGAAGTGTTTTGCGCGGTGGCAGTTTGAATGTGCCTGTTTACATTTCTCAGCTCTTGGGAGAACATCGACATTTTACGTCTCTGAACCAGTCAGAAAATGTGTCTGCACCTTTATATATTAATCTGAAATGTCGTACAGCCAGACGAGGTTCATATTTAAAAGTAGGCTAATAATTATCACTGTTTGAAAATGGGGCGTTTGAAGAAACTTTTGACTCAGACATTGTTTTACAGTATTTGGGAAATACTTTCGGTGTCAGCTGGAACAGGCTGTCGAAGAGGAAAGTTTCAGTGCACTGGCGTTATTGCCTTGAAGGCAATGCTTTGTTTGAATAATTAATCTTCTCTTTGGTGTATGAAGATGTGACGCGTGGATAGAATTTTTCTCAGGAAAAAAGGGAATGTGAAAATGAAAGACAGACAAGAGCCAGAACAGATGTGATGAGATGTTGTGAAAGGATATCTATTCTGGCATGCCCTCTACATCCTTAATCCTCTCTCTCTCTCGTTTTCTCTCTCCCTCTCTCTCTCTCTCTCTCTCTCTCTCTCTCTCTCTAACACACTCTTCCTCCCTCCCTCTCTCTTTAGCCCTATGTTACTCTTCAGTTAACAAACAGCATTTTCTTCTGCATCTGCCCTTATCATTGTAAGTACAACATCTTATTGTGTATCTATTGTTTTCTTTCGTATTGATATTTTAAGCAAAAAATAAACATGCATTTAAAATAGGATGCACGCAGGTATGTTATATTTTAAAAACGCGACAGTTCACGACCATTATAGATGCTGTTATTTACTTTTATGTTTAACTACTGACTTTTTACTGCCTGTCATTGTATGTATCAAACCGGACTGTATTTATAGTTTACGATCTCTGCATATGTCTTTCAGTGTTGTAGTTTTTTTTTTAATGTATTGTCTGTTACCTGCATTCCTAAAGTGCGCTGTACATGTAAATACCCAAACTCATCTGACCTGAACTGTGACAGTTTTAAGAGCGAGCAGTTTCTTCACAACTTAATAAAATATAATTATATATGCTAGTGGGTCGTCTAAAAAGTTGTTTGGAGAGGAATGTCTCCGTAGTGAGGGGATTTTGTTCATGCACTTCACTGGTAACTTCTTAAATATTTATATACCAGTGTAAAGGAAACCGTTTTACAGCTGAAAACAGACCAAACTCTGTTATGTTAAATATATGTTTTTTTTTTTTTAAATAATTTATTACACGAGTAGCCTAAATCAAGTTAAGATACTGTGAAACATCTGTGAACATTTCAAAATCGTTTACCTGAATTCGAATACTATGATCGAATCCATGCTTGTCTCCGTGAAATTAATTTGTAATACAATTTTAAATAGTGTAAAGAATCTTTATTTTTATTTTTGCATTTATGAGACAATGTAATTATTTCCCAGCAGTTCCAGGGAGTCACAAAAGGTGAAGAGTTTAGGATGCCCAGTCTCTGTAATTCATCAATATATCGATCAAATAATTTGCTATAATAACAGAAACAGAAACATTCTACCAAACATGGTGCTGTTTCAACAGACCGGAATCATGCACTTCACTGGTAACTTCTTAAATAGTTATATACCAGTGTAAAGGAAACCGTTTTACAGCTGAAAACAGACCAAACTCTGTTATGTTAAATATATGTTTTTTTTTTTTAAATAATTTATTACACGAGTAGCCTAAATCAAGTTAAGATACTGTGAAACATCTGTGAACATTTCAAAATCGTTTACCTGAATTCGAATACTATGATCGAATCCATGCTTGTCTCCGTGAAATTAATTTGTAATACAATTTTAAATAGTGTAAAGAATCTTTATTTTTATTTTTGCATTTATGAGACAATGTAATTATTTCCCAGCAGTTCCAGGGAGTCACAAAAGGTGAAGAGTTTAGGATGCCCAGTCTCTGTAATTCATCAATATATCGATCAAATAATTTGCTATAATAACAGAAACAGAAACATTCTACCAAACATGGTGCTGTTTCAACAGACCGGAATCTTCTACATTCGGTTTTGTAGAATGACCTGAGATGGCCTTTGTTTGTTGGCACAAGACTAACTTCAATAATCGTTCCAGGTGTAAAATTGTTTTACAGTCTTTTAAGACGAAGGCGCGTTGGATAAATAGACGCAGCAATCATACATATATACTTTTAGCGAAACGACATTAACCATTTTTCAATTTAATAACAATATAAACGTCTGTGTGAGGGACATACTACGATCTTCCATCTGCAGTGAGGATTGGTTTAGTTTAGGTAACTTCAAATTCCATCAAAGTGCTCGTAGGGCAATTTCTCATCAGCAGACCAAGTGAAGTTTGTCTATACATCAGGTTTTCTTACAGCCTCTTAATAAAAAAGAAAGAGGCTTGCCGTCGCTTAAACTTTGTTCGACGTGTTTATCCACAAAAGTAGAGTAACGCAATGGAGGAAAATCCCCATCTATACATTTCACCTTCATATGTCCATGTTTATGTCCCATTTTTATTGATAGGCTTCCTGAGCAGCTTCAGCTTAATTCAGTATGACAAAATTAGAACTGTTTAAAATGCAGATAATAGCTACTTTTAAATTATTTTTGTTTATAACCAAATATCGCAAAAACATAACTTTAAAAAATATCGCGTGCATGTTCCCAAGTAATCTATTAGTGTTGTTTTTATGCGAAAGTTTACATAGCAATAGGCTATATAGCCTAGAAAAAAAAAAAGAATTATATTGATATCTTATATATTCATATCCTAAATAGCCTACTATATATAACTCAAATGTGTCTCCTGATGTTTGAAAATATATCACCTGAGCTCTGACTTTTCCCCCCTCTTTCACAATCTACGCTATTCTACCCCACCCCGTTAAAGACTCTCTCTCTCTCTCTCTCTCTATCTCTCTCTCTCTCACTCTCTCTCTTATGTGTTGTCTGGGAGTG